CTGGATGGTGATGGTGGGCGGCAGCGGCGGAGGGTGAATGAGCCGGTGGTAGCTTTCGGTCCGCCGGGGTCGACGGGAGAACTGAATGTCAGTGTGATTGTATCGACTGTCCCCATCGACTTCTCGTAAGACTAACTGTCTGTTGTTTACCGTTTTCTTTTTTCCGCTAGCTAAATCAGCCAGTACAATTCGGTACAATACGGCCATATATGTCTTCATGCGACATGCAACATGATCGTTTACGAGAGATGAACTAAAGTAATCCTGATCAAATTGTTGGCAGGATTGAAGCATTTGGAGGAGCCGAACGAGTCGGAGAAGCTGTGCTTAAGACGATAACCGTGCCAAGTCGAGGCACGAGTGTGAAGGGAACATTAATAGGGTCGAGTGTGAGAGAGGGTCCTGAGAAAGGGGTTAAGTACTGTGTGCTCGAATTTGGAGTTGAGAGCTCGATTTTCCGGCGCCATAATATCGCTGTATGTTGCGCCCGAAAGGGAAGATTGTTTACTCTAAATGCTCAGGCGCCTGAATCTGCTTGGCCCCAATATAAAGCACAGTTTTATGTGATTGCTGATTCTTTCATTTTAGTCTGATTGTAATGTATGAGTCTGTGTAGATGGAAATGGAGCCAAAATACTTGTAGGCTGAGGCAGAAGTTTCAGTTAATCCAAGTGTAATTTTGAAAATCTGGCTTGTATAGTCTGTGTGGGTGTCTTAAGGCTATTTTAGTAAAACTAGCTGACACGCAGCTAGCTTACAGCTTACAAATGATTTTCGAGCTTATAGTTGAGAAACTAGCTTATATGATAAAAGTGTTTGGTAAAATTAGCTGATAAACTGGTTAATATAAAAATTTCAACGAGTTTATTTAAAAAGCTATACAATGAATCTCAATGAGATAAGCTCGTGTTTTTTTAAAAATAAAAATAAAATTTATTTTAATATATGAAGCTTATAAGCTAGCCAAATAAGCCATAACTTAACTTATTTAGTTACCAAAAATAGCCTTATTTTGGTTAACTCTTACAAAAATTTGCTTCCCATAAATTATAAATACAAATAAAATCTTCTCTTATCTTATAAGAAAAAATAAGAGGCATTCTATAGTTCACACGTGGCCTTCTTTTTGGCTTTCCAGGTTCAGCCACGTGGCTTGCCATTTCTAATTCCCACTCCATCTCTTCTCTTTTTTTCCGGTTTCAAAATCTGATTTTTTTTATTGGGCTAAGAAAACGACGCCGTTTCGTACAGTAGATGAGTTAGGTGGATTATCAACTTCCCTAAATGTCCCTACTTTATTATGCTTTTTGGGGTTAGTGTGGTAAATTAAATTCCTCTTCTAGAGAATTAAGCTACAGATTTTTTTGGGTTCTGTGACACGCCATTCCACCTCCTCCGATTGTCACTTCACCCTCCCATCATTCCCAGCAGCAAACCCATCATTCCCAGCAGCAAACCCATCTCCTCTCCAAAACTTCGCAAGCTTAGCAAACCGCCGACACCGACAGACCTCTGCTATCTCAGACCCGCCCCGTGGTCCCCACGCTCCGACAAGTCCAAACCCAGACACACAAAACCCTAATAAGAATTTGTTGTCTGACGACAACAGGCGCAACATAATCAAGGCGAAAGCCCAATACTTAACATCTTGAGGCGGAACCAGCGCTCGCGCGAGAAGACACCCAAGTGGGATCAAGCGCACATCCGAAATTTGTTCTGTTTGTAATTTGTTCTATTTTTTTCAGCATTATTATTCTCATAATTATTATTGAGGTAATATTCTTCAACTGTGCAACTTTCTGAATTTTGAGGGGTATGCTTTGCTACCAACTGGACGATTTGAGTTTGCAATAAATCGTAAGATTTTTTTATAAGCAAATTTGTTGTCTTTAATTGTTGCCTCCAGATGGTTCTTCATAGTATCTCATTGCCCTTCATAGACTTGTTCTTTATCTAATAAGTAATTTAACCTTTATGTTCTTCAGTTCTTTTAAAACAAAATAATAATAATTTTCATTTAGACGAAGGGAGAGTTTGGATTGCTATTACTGGGATTTAATTCTGATGGGACTACATTGTATGCATGGTTTATGTTTTTGCTTTGAATTACCAGGATTAGTTTTGATTACACTACTCATTATTGACTGGTTCGATACCTTTTTTTTCATGGTTTCTTGTTGTTTTGGTTGTAAAAGACAACAATGCCATTGTGGAAACATAGAAAAAATGTGACATTTTTATAATTTTTTTTTTTTTTATTTATTG